AAATGAGAGGAACTTTGGATCCCATATTCAAAGTTACTCTTTGATTCGATTTTTGATTAAGAAAGCAGTAAGCTTCATGCTTTCTAGATGGAAAAATGACAAATTTCTAATGGATATGGGGATTATATGACTGCTTCAAAATTGGCTATTCCCTCTGGTTGCCTCATTCTTTTCTCTGATTATGTGCTGCTGTGCCGCTGGTGTTCTCCTTGTATTTGTCTGGGTTGTCCTGCTGTCTTGGACGATGATGATTGTGAACCCCAGACTTCTCCCCTTTGGATGGGCTGGACTTCCGTCTAGCAACCAGGGGAGTTTTGCCCCTTTTTGTGGACTGTTATACTGATGATCTTTTTGATATCTGAGTCCAGGCTTTTCTTCTCTAACCATATTTGCTTCTGTTTTTGCTCAGGTGCTACCTTGGAACTAAGTTTTTACTTCGTCTTAGTTTGTTCTTGTCTAGTTCTATTTTTTGGAATCTTTTGATTCTTTTTGTGCGAGCTTTGCTCCTTTTTTTGTGGTGGCTTATACCTCTTATTTGTAATTTTTCATTTTTTGTATCTCTATTTTTGAAAATGGAATGAAATGGGCAATGCACCTAACTTCCCAAAAAAAAATCAACTTTGTAATCATCAATGCGACTGAGTTCATTCGAGTTGTTACCAAAATTGCCATAAACCTGAGGAGCAAGCACGTTCTCCCATTTACTTTTATCCTGCTCCTCATCATTCTCCCAAATGTCATCCAGCACAAGTAGGAATTTTTTGGACAAGATCTCAGATTTAAGACTCTTTTGGAGTGCATCAACTGTATCCAAAGAAGGTCTATTCATTTTGAGATATTCCAGAATATCTGCAACGGCTTTTTAAGCATAAAAGTTGTTGGAAACACAAACCCACATTTTATGATCAAATTCCTTCTTCTTCTTTGATCTCATCATCCGCTTCCACCATGCACCTCGGTATGGTTGCCGACGTCTTCCTCATCTTCCTTATTGCTCGAAGGTTTTCGCGAATCAGATCAAGGTTTCTGTCTACCCGATCTAGCGATTCCTTCGACTGAGCTTGGTAAAAGGCGATCCGGCTTCGAGCATCGTCGACAGTCCACCTTTCTTGACGTCGAACGTCGTCGAACGCCAATTTTGTTTTGCGGCTTCGATCGTCGTCGACAGCCGACCTTCTGCAATACATCGATCTTCACAAGCTCCAGGCTCTGATACCAACTGATGTAGTGGATCGTCGGAAGATCAAACCTGCAAGAAGGATTTCAAGGAGTTTCCCAATCCAGGGAAGAAGAAGAGAGCTTTCTCAAAGCTTCAAAAGAGTTTATATCATTCAATGCCTCAAAAACCATACATTATACCTATTTAAGGGAGCAAATAGAAGACTCTAGACTAAAGGAGATAAACTAGTCCCTAAGCATAAGATAGGCTAAAATGTTCCCACATCAGTTTTTTTCTGCCCAGGACGATGATGGTACCTCCTTTCTTCCAAATCTTCCTCTTGGATGGTCTACGGGAAACCAGGTGATTTGCCGGTGGCGACGTTAAATCTGATCATTCTAGTATTCTGTATCTGAATCCTGCTGGCTGTTGCCTGGGGATTTTTTTCACTGATGGTATTTTTTAGGCTACAAACGTGATCCTTTCTCTTAATTAGCCTTCGGTTTTAGCCTTTGCCCTGCCTTTTGGGGGTGTTTTTTCTTTTCTTGTTAGTTTTTTGTTCTTGGTGGCACCCTTTTGTTGCTGTCAAAAGCAGTTTTCTCTTCTTCTCTGTAATTTTGCTCTACGGTCGTAAGTTCATTGAAGTCTCCATTTTAAAATAAGAAAATGAGCGTATTTTAAAATAAATGAGTGGCTTTGGTTTTGATGGAAATATCATTTTATTTATTATTATATATAAAGTAAGAAAATGAATGCTTTAAGTGCTTATGAATTATGATGAATAATTTGATACTAATTCATATTATTTATATAATATAATTGAATAAATTTGGATAAATTTCTAAAAATCAATCATATAATAAATGTGTGAATCCTAACTTTCTTTATTGATATTATTGAATATATTTATTTTTTATTTAGTAAATAAACAAACCAATCATGTTATTCTCATGCATATTTGATCATTTCTGCAATCATTAATTTTTTAAAATGTGTTTTAAACATTCTTTTTCAATCAAGATTTATAATTTATTTATCTCAAAATAAATTTAATAGCTATAAAAACAATCTCTATGAAATTTAAGTTTTTTTTTTTTGTTAGTTCCCAGCACCATTATTAAAAAGTAATAATGAGATAGCATGTGTGTCTAAGAAATAAATAAATCACTTAAGAAAATTAATGCAAAGGTTGATGAAATTGTAAAACTTTTAATGATAGTTGTGTCATATTTATTAAGCACACAATAAATACAGATTACCAAAAAAAAATTTAAAAACACATATAGATTACTAATCATTCAAAATTCATTGTCTTTGCAAACTTAAATACATATAACCAAAATTAAATAATGATTGAATGATTGTTTGATTCAAGAAATTAATAAGAAATTAAAAAAAAAAAAGCGAAGAATTGAATTTTAAACAATTATTTAGAATTTAGTTGTAAATGATCAAAATAGAATATCAATGATGTTTGTTTTTGGTTTAGAAAAATTGTTGAGCCTTGCCCATATTTCATTTTGCTGAAAAAAGAATTTATAAACATAGGCACAAAAGAGGCCAAAATTAAATATTGTAAAGCTTTAATCACTAAAATAAACTACAAATTGCACAACAACCTCAAAAAGATAAAATAATCCAAAATTTAGTCATTTTGTAGGTACCAAAAATAACCAAAAATTAGTCAAGAAGGCCATGATGCTTGCTGTATTCAAGAAATGGCAGGATGATTCCTGCAAAACCAACAAAAAAAGTTTGCCAACTAGTTGCTAGCTTAGGACCATCCATTAGAGGCAGCAGCCTAAAAAATCATATAAAGGATAACCACAAGAGAATCAACTAGTAGCTCAAAAGCCATACATAAGATAACTTGACCGAACGATTATTGTTAGCAGCCATGGGTTGTGTCCACTATAGGAAACACATTATTACCGGCGGACTATATTCGCTGGTAACACGTAAAATTCGACGGAAGGCCTTGGTTTCCGGCGCATTTCTGTCGAATTTTTGTACGCCGGTTTGGTGCGCGTAGAAAAATGTCTTCCGATGTTTATAAGACGCCGGAAACCTTTTCGGCGCACCCTCCTGCGCATTACCGGCGCAAAATATGTTAGCCAAAACGTCATTTCTTAATCGATTATTCCGGCGATATATGCGTCGGAAGTTTACGACGTACATATCCAACGGAAAATACCGTTTGATTAAACGTCGTAGGTTCACCGTAACTAAGCTACAGCTTGTTTCCGGCGCATAAATAGCGACGGAAAATGCCAGCGGATAAGACGTCGTAAGGTGCGCCGGAACTAAAGCTACGGCCAGTTTCCGACGCGTTTTCCGCCGGCCCGTTCCAGCGAAAAAAAATGCCGGTATGATTGCACCGATTCGTTGTATCGTCATTTCTGTCGTATTTTCTGTGATGTTTTATTTGTAATAAAACATTCTATTGTTGTAGGGGAAATGATAGTATTGGGTCTTTCTATTTTTTGTGCATTTTTGTAGGTTGTATTTAAGAAATCTAGTAGTTAGCTGTTGTTCATTTCAATGATATCTATTATGATATTATATTATTAGCATATGATATCTAATTGTTAGTTAGATATAGATAAAATTATATTATGAGTTAGATGATATTGAATCAAATATAGAATGGTTAGTTGAATTTTATTATTTAATAAATGTTTTGTTAAGAAAAAGATAATTTAGTGAGGATTAATGTTTATTTGATGATTTATTTTGTGTTATCTTATTAATTTTATATAGTTTATTAATTTTAAAAGTTATTTATATTTTTATATGTAATTGTGAAATGAAAATATCAAATAAATAGTTTTGAACTTTTTTATAAATATTTATATTTTTATCCAATAATTAAATAATACTTAATGAATTGCACCAATTTTTATTAAAATTTATAAATTTGATCATGCTTAATAATTGAGTAATATATTTAAATTAATAGTATCAGGTATATAACTAATTGAGCCTTATTAAAGCTTAATTATGATTTGAAAGAAAAGAAAACTTATTAAGTTTGTAAAAGATTTAAAATTCAACGAGTGGATAAACTATGCTTGAATTTGATAGGAAAATAAATGAATGTATTTGATCAATAATAAAATTAAAACGTACTGGATATTTTACATTTTTTTATGACATATTTATATTCCAAATTATTTTATAGAGCAAAAAATATTTGTTTTAATTATATTAGATTTAATTCAAAAATTCGATAAATAATATTAATGATTAAAAATATGTAAAATGAAATATGGAGAAGAATATACTAGGAATATTCTTTTTTGGTGTTAGAAAATGGAGTTCGGTTGGAGACAAGTTACTGCATTTTGGTGTATTACTGCATTTTGGAGTGGAAAATGAGTTTTTTGGTTGGAGATGCCCTAAGAGTATGAAACATGCTCTTTGTTTTTTATTCATTTCTTTTCATTTAGCTTGTGTTCATTTTTAAATAGTTAGAAAATATTAAATTTAATTTTTTTTAACTCATAAAAAATAAAATAATTTATTAATAAAATTTTTAAATACAATAAAAAATTAAGTATAAAATTTAACAACTAACAATATAATATCTTACGTTATAAATAACAAGTTCATTATTAAAAAATAAAATAAAATTAGCAATCAATAATCTTCAACATGTATCTTTTCTCCATGTTGTACTATCAACAACAAATTAAGCTGATAATTGTAATTTTTATCTAAGTCAATAAATTAAGAACTTATGCAAATTGGTTAATGCTGAGATTGCATTCTTCAAATTTCATATCAAACAAATAAGATAAGAAGAAAGAAGTTTGCTTATGTATAAATTTAACGACATGTATAACAAAATATGAAAAGAAGAATATATTTATATATAAAGGGACCACAAAGTGATACAATGACATTGCATTCTTCACATTTCATATCAAACAAATAAGATAAAAGAAAGAAGTTTGCTTATGTATCAGGGATCAAATAAAGATAATCGGAATGTGAGCAATCTTGTGCCGATCGGAACCTCCATCCTCTCGATAGCGCTCCTTCAACTCTGGATGACATCCCCGAATTGATAGAAATTTCAAAGAGGGAGGAAGGTTCGGTAACTCTGGATGACATTTCCGAATATATAGACTACGCAAAGAGGGAGGAAGCTTCGGTAATTCCCGAAGCATAGGAACATTAGAAATAAGTAGATACTGAAGTGAAGATAAGCTTTCCAAGGAGGAAGGGAGAGACTCTAAGGATTTGAGACATACAAATCGCAGCTCAGAAAGAGAAGACCTGTTATTGAGAAACCACTGCTCGGCCTCATTTGGAAATGAAACCAACTCATCATTAAACTCAATACTCAGCCTTTTTAAGGAGGCGATACTTCTCAATGGCTCCATTAGCAACACCGATGGATCACTTATTTCAATATCGCTGAGCATGAGATGGCAATTATTAGTGGTCCCCACTTCTCGATGTCTTCCGAGGGAGATCAGATTGGGGCATTCTATAATAGATAATGTCTGAAGTGAAGATAATTCTAAGGAGGAAGGGAGAGACTCTAAGGACGCGAGATGCATAAACTGCAGCTCAGAAAGAGATGAACTAACTTTCAGAAACCACTGCTCCGCCTCATTTGGAAATGAAATCAGCTCATCATTATCCTCAATTGTCAGCTTTTTTAAGGAGGCGATACTTCTCAATGGCTCCATTAGCAACACCAATGGATCACTTATGCTAAGATCGCTGAGCATGAGATGGCAATTATTAATGGTTGGCATTTCTCCGAGAGAGATCAGATTGGGGCAATTTTCAATTGTCAAATGTCTTAGTGCCGCAAGACTTGCTATTTCATCAGCCAGAGGAAGAGATGTAATGTTCGGACAGCGACTGACCTCTAATGTGTCAAGGGTAATAGGATTTGAATTGCTACAAAAATTCCAAGTCTTCCATCCAATATTACTTAGCTTCAAGCTCTTGAGCTGAGAAGGCAAAGAGGGCAACTCTTTCAACTTCGGGCAGTGTATTAGCTTCAGTTCAATTAAGCAAGGAAAGAAACATCCATCTTCGGCAGCTACTCCTGCCTCAAACCAATCCTCTAATGCTTCTAATCTCTCAATAATTAGCACCTCTAGCAATGGAAAGGTACGGTATTTATCATTCCCATTATATTTACTTTCGAGCCATTTTACTTTCGGCATTTCAGAAAGTGTCAGTGACTTGAGGAAGGGAAGTTGCCCGAAAGGAGGAAGAGTTTTCCACTTCCTGCAATCTTTCAATTCGATTATCTCTAGATTGAAGATCTGATTGACATTGTTCATCCATATTGCAGACCTTGCACCCATGTAAGAATATATGTTCAGCTTCCTTAGACATTTTGGTGGCTGAAGGTTGTCGAGCACGTTCTCATCTAAATCCATATTCCTCGAGTTATTGTCACTCCAACATAAAGTTAAATCTGTGAGCCTCCTCTTTTCACATAATTTGGCACTGGAACCCTCGTCGGCATCCTTAACATTTTCAAGGCAATTGATTCCTAATTTGCAAAGATCATTCATATTCTCCAGCTCCCCAATTCTATATCCACTCACATCTCTAAGATCAAACATATTAAGTTCTTGAAGAGACTTTAGCTTCCCAATCCCACATATCAATGAAATATATTTCTCGGGCAATTTCACATGACGCAAGTTAGAAAGGTTATTAATGTTACTTGGTAAAAAATCAACTTGGTTTGACGTTACCCCTCCATTCCAGAATATGTATTGCAAGTGATAGAGATTACTTAGAGATCTTGGAAGCATAGTCAAATTACGACAGAAAATGGTTAAGTATCGAAGATGTATCAAATTTCCAATCTCCTCAAGTGCTATAATTTTGAAGTATGGAGCAGATACGTATAATAAGCGTAGGCTTTTCGATGCTTTGAGTATTTCAATAAGTGCACCACTGCAAAGATCCTGATTATAATCTTTATAGAAAAAGAAAAGAGAATGCAAATGTTTAAACTTCTCAATCTTTCTTAAGATGTCTGGATCTGAGGTTTGAATAGACAAGTGTCGAAGAGTCTCAGGAATTATAGAAGACAACTTTATACTATCCTCAACTCTTAAATATTCTTGTATGGAAACTGACTGTGCCAATTCATGTAGCAAATCATGCATCTTGTAGTAGTATGGAGAATTTGTTTGAAGAAAATTTTCGTATTCAAACTTTTCAAAGAAAGATTTTTTAACCAAAACATCAAAATACCTTCCACCGATATCCTCCATAGTCTCTTCTTGATCAAGAGACGGCTGAATGAAACCCAATGCAATCCACATTCGGACTAAATTATCTTTATCAAACTGATAATCTTGTGGGAACATACAACAAAATGCAAAACAATTTTGTAGATGATTTGGCAGAACTATATAGCTCAGTCTTAAGATGGAATCGACAGAGTTCTGACCCAATAAATTACTTTCTAGAACTTTCCTCCAATGCCTTTCATCCAAGTTGTCATTCAGAACACCACCAATGACTTTAGCTGCCAATGCAGATCCAAAAGCTTTTTAACTCTCTCTCCAGCGATGGTTCTTAATTTTTTATGATCATTAGGATAGAAGAGAAATGTTTCTGTACAAATCAGTTCCCCGATGCTCATTTGATGGATTCCTCAGCCACTCCATAACAACCTCCTTATCCTTGCCACGCCCAATGAGATCATTTTTAGGCAAATATCCTGTTTCACGTGTTTTGTAGAATTGAACCTCCTGCTCCTTGTATTCCTGCTTCGCGCTGTCTATAAGATGAAGGAAAGTAGTAACATCAGCCGAAACTTTATCAAGTTTCTGCACAGCTTCCTCCAGTCGTTTCAAGTTGGGATCCATTTTGAGAACACGTTCGCCAATTTTGAAAATTTTACGAGGAATTTCAAATATGAAGTTCGTGACCTTTCGTTTCTGGTCAAATTAATTAGAAATAGATTATCTAATAAATAAATAAGTAAAAATATTCGAGAGCAGAATCAAATAGGAAGCTCCTGTTGGCCGAACGCACCTTTGTTTCTTCCGTAGTTTTGGTAAGCTGTTCTTTATGCTTCATGTATTCAAACTCATCGAGCAGATCATCTGCCTCATCAATAGCATCTCGCAGCTGCCATATCCATTTGTTGAGAGCCGGGTTCTGATCGCTGATTTGTGCTTGGTTAGCAGCAAAGACGACAGCTTGGATCTTCGGGTGGTTCTCTCGAAGCCTTTCCAGCTCCTTCTTCATGCCCGTCTGCCATCCGACTTGCTCTACCAGGTAATCAGAGCAAGCGTTGATGATCTTCTCCATGATTGGACCTACAACTAATTCCGCCATGGCACCGATGATCGAGGTAGAGAGAGCAGAACAACTGAACAGGGGAGAAACAGAGATCGGAAGAGAAAGAACTCCGCCGGGAAATGGTAACCTGCAGCCTAAGTCTAAGTAAACGGAGATTAACTGAGAGGGAAGACGAAGCTTCTTCGTAGTCGGTTAGTTGACTGACTTTGATGGGAACACGAAGCTGCCTATCAGATGGATATTAGATTATTATTGTTGCGTCCTGTAGTTTGTTGCGTAAGGAATTTAATAATTAGGTATTTGTTTCTGATATCTATTATGATTTTCTATCATTAGAAAATCACTTTTAAATGTTGGTACATTTTAATATAATGATTTATTTTAGAAAAATATATATTATGAGTAAATCAAATTTGGTATGATAAGTTGAACTGTATTATTATTTTGATTTTTTTAAGAACATCTTAGTTGTAGTATTTATCAGAATTATAATATATATATATATGTATGATTAAGTTGTTAGAAAATAAAAAATTTTGGAGGACTGAAAAATTGTAAAATCCTCCAAGCATATAATTTGGCAATTTAGACTGATTAACTAGGCTGTCTAGTATTTATTGGCCTGAGCAAATATATAATTGATGAATAATTTGATGATTGTTTATAAATATTTATTTATTCATATAATTAAATGAATTTGAACAAAAAATTTAAAATTTTGTCATATGATAAAGAGTTTGAAGCTTCTTTTTTTATATTCATGAATATGATGTTTGTTGTTTAATAAATAATTTTTAGAGAAAAAGATAAAATGATGATCTAATATGGATTAAATTTTTTTTTCATGATTAAAAAATATTTGTTTTGATGATTTATTTTATGTTATTGTAACAAATTTTTTATAAATTCCAAGTTTTAAAAATTATGTATATTCTTAGATATATACTTATGAAAATATCAAACAGACTAAATAGTTAGATGGGAAGATTTAAACTATTCTTAGATATATTCTTAGATCGAATGCCGAGGTCGTCATTCCTCCAACTCTCAAATTTCTACTCTCTAATATCAAGAATGTTATCAACATTCAGCTTCTACGAGATAATTATCCTACTTGGCGCTCTGCCATTCTAAAGCTGTTTATGGCCGACAGTTTCTTAGGATATATCGACGGCACCCAACCCTCTCCTCCCAAACATCTTTTAACAGCTATTGGACAACTCGTCCTGAATCAACAGTTCTCTTCTTGGTCTCTGATCGACCAAAATATGTCTGTCGCCTTGTTCTCAACTATCTTCGCCTCCATACTCCCATATGTTCTCAACTTAGACACCACCACTTCTATTTGGAACACACTCGAGCAACGTTTCTATTCCACCAATAGATCCCGAGTGATTCAATTGAAAAATGAGCTGCATTCTCTTTCTATGCAAAACAAAACCATGACAGAGGCAACCCATTGTTTATTTGTATTTAGCTCCTTCAAATTTGTTCATTAGAGTTTAGCTCATTGAGCTCATGTTCAAAAATATTTGTGAATATCATGTTCCAATTCAATTTGTTTGTTTCAAAACAAAAACCCAACATAAACAAGAGTAGTTGAAACAAAAACCCTACTTAAATCATAAAAATTCACAACGACAAGAGAATATTGAGCAATATATTTGAATCACATGACTTGAACAAGATAAGTAAGTCAAAAATTAAACCATTTAAAACTCTTCATGCAAATTAATTTAAACACATAAGATTAATGAAATCATCTTAATGAAATTCAATTCAATTAGATATGAACTAATTCAATTCAATCTTAGTTAAATTAATTTAATGCAAATGAAATTTTACTTTCTCTTACTCCCAAAATTAGGCAAGGACGATTATAAATTTCATTTTAAAAATGAGGACAACACAGCAAAGAATTGCCTATTGCTAAGAACATTATGGTTCCTGATAATAAGTTGTTCCGCTTCATCAGTGATGTTATTCATAACACATTCTAATCCAAGAAGAAAAAAGATAGAGAAATATAGCTTTTACATATTCCGAACAATATCGTTTTGAAGCCATTTACTAATCTTAATTAATCTTTTGGATGAGTTTTGTTCCACCGAGTTTAAAATTTCATCACAATAAGTTGCTTTTTATTTGGCAAGCACAAGCCGCACAAGCTCAAGCCTTCAAAGTACCATCAAGCAAGTATATGAAAAAAAAAAAAAAGCTTTATTGAATATTTTTCTGCTTTGCTTTTTTTTTTTTTTTGGGAAATCTTTTGCTTTCTTCCAATGCATTGAAAAACATAGTTGTCTGCCACTTAGTTGAATTTTGATTAAAAACATAAATGCATCCCCAATAAAATTTTCACCACAAGATTTGCAATCAAACAAAAAAAAATATGTATTTTTAAAATGTCATGCAAACAACTACAACTTAAATGTGACATAATTAGTTAACTGCTTTACATTTTGCAGAATCAAAATGACATAATTAGTTAACTACCGATACTGGATATTCATAATCAAAATTCTACAGCAACACAAGTATCGCAGATGCAGAGTTCTATAAAAACCTTAAAGATCCATACAGCCCGTGTAAATCTAAGAAGCCAGCGGCATACATAGGGCAGTGGAACCCAACACAAAATGTATAAAAATTCAATATATACTCCGCCTACATAATAACTGGATGGGAAGACACATGAAAAATTAGTCATCTTCCATTCTAGCCACACCATATCACATTTGTTAGTTTCTAAGCCACCTCAAGGACACAGCTTTAATACTTCATGTAGCACTAACGATTCATAAAGAATTTTTTTACTTAGAGATGAGAAATATGTTTAGAAAATCAATATTGATGACATTAAAGTCCACAAGACTTCACATGCACAAAGGAACGTCTGTCTGCCACTTAATATTCTTGGTTTTCACAAAGCTCCAAAGGAACGTCACATGCACAAAGATGACTTTGTCTGCCACATAGTAATGGAGATCCACCCACATGCAACTCTTTTAAATTTATTTTACTAAGAAAAAAAAAATCAATTCATATGAATTTAATGATAATGATGAAGGCTTTTAATTTATTAGTATAAATACAAATGAACTTAAATAAAAATTTAAAAATATATATTTATATAATAA